GTCTATTAATAAAATTGCCTTTGTTTTTTTTTTTCATGTAAATAGTACAAACTGCTAGGTATACTCGTATGCAAATTGCAAAGTGCAACGTCTGTATTATTTTATGATACGAGAGATGATTTACTAAATAGTGCTTGCTTTATGTTCCGTCCAGTTGTCTCTGCAGTTAAACCAACTATTATCATTTCAGACATTAAGGTCAGTTAAGCAGAATTGTTGCGACAAATGTGTTATCAAATGCATTGTCTCCATTATTCATTAGTATGTTGAAACTACATGTATGTATGCTGTCATTTGGTTTGTTATTCTAAAACTCAGCTAAAATTTCACAAATTTTTGGATTGAGCAGACTAGTAGTAGTATTAATTCCACAGCTTCCATTGTTGTTAAAGTTAGATAGATAGGTTCAGGTGCTATTTAGGAATTCGTCTCCTTTTTTAATTTGAGTGTAGAAGATTTGATTTATACCTAAAGTAATTGCCCATAACTTGTGTTGTTTTTTTTTTAATATATAAATTCTATTCTAGAAGATATACTCGGCCCGTTCTTATTTATTGTCCTTTCATACGCCTTGTTGTGAAAAAGTAATAAACAAACACCGTATAAAATCCGCTTTGTGAAAATATCAATATTTTGTATACATTCATTCATTTAATTATTTTATTATTCAATCATTTATTCATTTATAAATTTATTCACTCAATTATTCATTTAATCATTTATGCATTTAGTCAGTTGTTCATATTTTCATTCATTTATTCATTTAACCATTTAGGCATTTAGTCATTTTATCATATGTTCATTCATTTATTCATTGAGCCATTTATTCCTATCTTTATTTATTCATTTATCATTATTCATTCATTCAGAAGAAGAATAAATATATATTATATTCATAAAAATCTCTATACGATCTTCTATCTATCTTCGATCTATGCTGAGCGGAGACCTATTTGGTACTGTAAAATTAATTATAAACCGACAAGATTAATATTAAAATTTAAAAATTATTTTCAGTGTACCAAATAAACAATTTTCTTTCATTATTTTCTTTCTTTCTAAAAGATCTTGGCCTAGCTAGAACTGTAGTAAGTTCAATACTAGACCGGGTATCTAAGGCTACTACCAGATCTGGCTAGGCAGAGAGAGAAACAAGAACGGTTAAGATGAGTGTTGACGTACGTCGGCACAGGGGCCCCTTAAATCTAAACCCGGGTCGCAAGTACTCGCAAGGCCCAGGAATTGCACGAAATTTCCATCTCTGCCACATAATGGACCCATATACACGTCCTGTGAATCCATGAAATGTTTAAGAAGTTCGTCTCAGATAACTTGAAACTCAAGAAAATATATTAATTTATTTATTGTTGCTGTACAGATTATACCGCGCTAATTGGTCCCATCCCAAATAAAATACATAGTGATCTATGTAAGTAAGTGAATACGCGATATTATCACTATATCACTGTATATTGCTCATATTCAGTCAAGTGAATATACAGGAACAAATGTAAACCTAGAATGTATTCCGCAGCCATCAAACCATTGATGTGCATGTAGGCTTGATGAAGTGAGCTCTAGGCCGGCTGAATTTTATGTATCCAATTTCTCTACACAGTGCACCAAATTCAACTTCATTGTGGAGGAAATTGCACTGATACGTTATAATTAACTGTACACAGCTCTGCTGCCAGGATGGAATATGTTAACAGCCTATGTTATTTGCTAAACCTTGTAACTTTTAATTGGTGACGAGTTTTAAAATAAATTGTCTTTTTTGAGTGTATCCATTATGAACAAGCATTTATAAAATAAAATCTGCTCTTTATACTATAATTAATTGAAATTCAATGAATTCATTTGAAGTATAATAAGATAGTAAGATGTAATAAATTTTATTTGTGGTTTTATTTTAATTTTACTAATATTTTAATTTATTCATTCGAAGTAATTTTATTTATGGGTTTATTTTGATATACTTAAATTAATACTAATATTTTAATAATTATCATGAGCGGATTTTGTTATGAGGAAAGTAAATTCTGGAACCCACATAGATTTAAAATAAATATTTCAGAATGCAATAGGTAATATATGAGTATTATGTTTATGAATTTAAAACTCAGAAAGTGGTTATAGCTCCCGAGAGAAACCGTCCGGATCACTAGTATTGTAATAAATTGTAGCAATATGTTTAAAAGGTTGAGTGGCATAACTCATACGTAAGATAAAAGCGTCTCATTATGTTATAGTGTTACATCACAGGAATATATGTACAAATGTGTCTCTGTGGTTACAGGGTGGCATGCGTATGGTTTAGATGACAACGTACCAGTCACGCAACGTATTTGTGACGCTACAAACACGATTTTATACTTCAAATTAATATCATATTATACACATTATCTAGCTTTAAATATCTACAGTTTTTATCTGTGCCTATGTTGTCATTTATCATTGGATAGCTACTCGCCGCGGCTTCGCACGGGTGTACATGTATTATATATATATATATGTATATATATATATATATAAACCTTCCTCTTAAATCAAACTACCTATAAAAAAAAACCTTAACTTCAAAATCTTAAATTTAAAGATGCATATATAGAGACAGACAGCGACAGCGACTTTGTTTTATACTATGTAATGATAGTCTCAGTAATGTTTTGACCGAATTGAATGAGATTTACATTTATGAAGGAGCACCTATATTAATAGGCACTCCTTTAGTTTTCTCTAACATTTATTATTTGTGTCATACCAGTGTATTCAGACTCTAAAAATTATGAACTTATATTATTCCCCATATTAAGTATTCCGAAGATGAGGACGACAACTTAAAAAAAACTCCACAGAATAAACAATGTTTCTATCCTTCGTGTACCTATGTATAATTCTGGTAAGAATTTATATGATTCTTTTGCCATTCTATAACATTTAATTTAGTTCAATTATCCTATATCTTTCCGTCCGCTTAACCCTAATTAACTGAGACAAAAAGTAGCCCACTCAAATTATACGTATTTGCCAAATTTCATGATATGTGCTTAAATAGTTAGGGCTTAAAACTGTAACAAACAAACTCAATTCGCGATTACAATATTAGTTATGTTGTTGGTTTGTACTTGTTTCTTACGTTTTCTAATAAGTTATCATGTACTTCAAATAGCTTTGGTCCACTTTCCATCCCGCTATTGGCTCAAACGGGGGTGCACGTGTACCCCACCCCACCCCAGGGAAACATTACGGTCGCCAAATTGCCCATGCACCCCTTTGGGGTGAGATCTCGTGCATGTTGCGGTATTTTTATTTACCCAGACGATTGTAATTAGTGTTTAGAAATATCAATAATGCCCTAGTTTTTAATGAAAAATCAACTTACATGTGCTTTAGAGTTTTTTTAGAATTGTTCTGAAATGGAATATAGCCAGAGATAATATGTTTAGTCCCTTTATTTGCTCTGCCACGGTGTCGTCGCAACCAATCTTATATTATCTACTCTGGAATCTGAATTCTTCCGATCGATCGATATTGGAATGTGACGGTTTTGCACCTTTCTTGAATCGTACACCCAAATTATTTTTTATTGTAAAACCTAATAATAATCTATACATAAAAATATAATTGGAGTGTCTGTTTCTAATATGGAAATAACCGTTTTTTACTACATGCATATGAATATAAATGCGGTATATTTGTACACTAAAATATTTTTTTACAATTTTCGTCTGTCTGTCTGTTTGTTCCGGCTAATCTCTAAAATGGCTGAATCGACTTTGACGGGACTTTTATATTCTGGTAGCTGATGTAATAAGGAGAACTGAGGCTACTTTTAATTTAGAAAAATTAAATTAAATTCCACGCGAATGAAGTCGCGGGTACAACTAGTCTATGCATATAATCATAATGTAACTTATCGCTGTCTGTACACCAAAAACAATATAATAAAAACCTACATATATAAAAAAAAAACTGTTATTAAGGACAATATGTATAATGATCTAAAACAATGGTTGTTCGAATTTTTTTACTGTTTGCCTATGTGCGCGCTTATCTCAGAACCAATTCAGACACATTTTTTTTACAAATATATTATGATAGGCTTCACTCGAAATATGTAGTATACTTTATTCCAAACAAATAAAAAATGTTTCACGGGTACGAGATTGCGGGCTCGGCTAACAATAAGGAAGTTTAAAAATTTATAACCCGCTGAAAAAGGACGCCCTTAAAAGTATGAAACAGAATACATATACTCATCTGAAATTGTTATCCGTGGTCCTATACCTAGGTAGGTACACAAACAAACGATACGTTTTGACAAAGCGATCACAAGCTTCAGGGCAAAGTTCATCAGGCTGTACAACTGAAGGGAGCCGTATGACATATACGAAATGGCATACGACCATGCCTGTGGCATGTAATAACTGAAGCAATTATTATTCTGATGTGCAAACATTGCTTTAGTCATTGTCTAGTCAAACTACAAACCATTCCTGAATTTGACATTAGTGACATGTTCGTTACATGTTGCATGGTCATTCAGTGTACAAAGGAAATTGTAATCGGTTTATTGTTGATTGCGTTTCATACGACGCAAAGCAGAAGTGGATTGATATTGAGATTCAAATTGGATTCAAAAACAGACAGACGTTCAGATCGCTTACTAGGTACCGTAGTTACGCGGTGCAACTGCACATACACACTATTACTCAGAATGTGGATGAGTCTAGACGTTCCGTACGACGACGGCTACGGTTCGTGATAAACGGACTTTGTTACAAAGCCTTACAAATATTATTAATACAAAAGTGTGTATATTCGTGAGTTTGTAACCGTGTCACCACTAAACGGCAGAACGGCTTTTAATGAGAAACGTTAAGATGGTTTGTATCACCAAAATGGACATGGTTAATTTTGTCTCACATAATAAGTAAACAAAAGGTAACATAGCTTTAAATAAATAGTAAACAACTATGTTTATTTTATTGTTTCAGATTTGAAGTGTCGGTATAAGATGGTGAAGTGAGCGAGGCGAGATGTTACGGTGTGTGGTGTTGCTGCTGCTAGGCGCCTCGCTCGTGGATGCTCTTGACATATGTAAGTACAATTATGCTCGCGTTATAGCATTATGTGGGTGACAAGCATACATTTTACTGAAACATAGATAATTTAGTAAGGTTCTCTGTAGTTGGCGAAACTATATAATAATCAATTAAAATTAGAATTATTATTATTATTATATTTAATTTTAATCAGAATTATTATATGATCTCTGAATTGAAGATTCACTACGTAATTTTTATACTAAATCCGCAAAATGTCTGTTGTCACTTGCAACATGCTTTTTTAAATAATTGAAATCTTTCTATAGCAGCCCTTTATGGTTTTACGGAAATGGGCGCCAGTACAAAGCACACGACAATACGGCGAAAGGACTTATGGAGCGGTTTAAAAACGAATTTTGGTGACCAACTAAAGTTATATACTTTAGTCTCAGAGCATCGTTATGGGTGGAACAGGGGATCAATGGGGCGGGATATCTAGGAAATTTGGTAGCACACGTATAACATACTGCATTGAGCGGAATGCAACCTTTAGTCAAATATAAAAATGTTCATTTATTTATTTATGTACAGAAAACGATACATTTACGTAGTACTATGTACACATATTTCTAAATGTAATTTCTTCAAGTTATTGTTTTCTTCTCTTTTCATTTTCCTGACGATTCTAGTAACTTGTTGGTTGTGAAAGAGACAGAAGACTCGTGTATTCTTACTCCGTAACTAACTGTGGAGAGTATTTTCGGGAAAGTTACTGAAACTTTTACTTGATGCTCTCTTGCGGTATACAAGGAAATTTTATGGTGAATGCTCTAGAAACGAATGAAGCAGTTGTGTTTGTTCATCAGTCAGTCTTCTTTTGGAAGATTTGTTTTATTTATAGCAGATAAATTGGAAAACCCAACCGATTATAAAAAAAATATATCATACATACTTTCAATAATTTATATTAAATAGATTTATGTATTTATAAATAGGAAGTTAGATAATTAACAGAACATTGTGGCCTATACCTTATTTTAATAAATGAGATTCCTACAATCCCTGTACTCATGCGAAGCCCGGGGCGATCATTGCAATTTCGCCCATAGTCATGTCAAGCCTTCTATTTAGGCACGATCTGTCTATGCCAGATAGCGTATGATGCAGGCTTTGTCTCTATGTAATATAATCTAATCTGCGTCGATAACTTGATAACTGATTGGTTTAGTACACAGAACTGTACGGGCTTGTTAATATTTCATATCTTCAGAGGATACGTGGTAATTGACAGATCACAACGAATACCTGCGAAGTTATAAACTTCAAAGACGAATAAATAATCAGTGAAATAGATATCTATTAAGAAGTAGGATATCCCATAAAAATTGGTGTAATTTAAATCGATAGTAGGTGTGGTACAATGAAACGCGATTTTAATCACCATACTATATTTCGTCTTTGGCGGCTTTATCTGGAGCTGTTCATCAGGGTGTTTAAAGTGCACATGCCTCAGCGTCTTCTGGCGCACTTTACTTATGTTAATTCGATATCAGTTTTTTAGTGTTTCCTCATATTATTTTAATTTATAAATAAGTTCAATGAACGGGATGAAATAATTAAATAGCTAAAATAACCTTCTTAGTCGTTAGATAGTTTTATATGTTGGCTTATAATAGATTTTGTAGCCACAATCTTTATCTTCTGTTTTATTTTATGTAGAAAAAAACATCATGTTTCTTTATCTCTTTTTTTATATTACTATGGTGGCAAACGTGCATTCTTTGTCTCATCTAAATTGTAACTATTTTGTTGACAATTGAAAAATCTAGACAGTTAAAGAGTACTTATTCATAGTTTTATGAAAATGTAAATTGTTTCTATTCTATTTTTACGATCTAGTTTCTATACTTTGATATCTCTACTATATACCAACAAGAAACACGCGCCATCACTCGTTTGAAATCATAAGTGCAGTTTGTCTGACATCGGCATCAAATAATGACTGCGAAAATAACAGTCTTTTCATCTACATAGAATGCATAATTGTCTGTATAGTAGGATCGGCGACAGCAGGCCACGACGCTAATGATACAGTACTTAATTACGCAATTACAATTTAATTGTTCAGTACTGAAGTTTCAGGTAATAATTTATTTAATATCGACTTTGTTCGTATAGTCGCACGGACATAATTACATGCGACTAATTATAATCCTGTCTAGTGGTTTGCGATCATTAGCATAATATATCCGTACAATAATATTATTTTTCAGAATAGATATGAATATATATGTATATGTGATTTAGGTGTTTATATTACTTTGAAATTAGATAACAATGGTGGTATCAAGACTGTTAGAGAAACCGTGAATGTCACAGATACGGGATGTTTAACTATATGTTTTAGGACATTCATCTATTTGACGTATATACTTTTAAATATAAATACATACATTATTTATCTATGTATATATCAATATATTTATTTATGTCGGTTACAAAACTTGTGTTAATTTGGCGTTTATTCCATAAGTATTTTTACTATGATTCTCTATATACCTAATGTTGAAAAGATTCTGATTCTACTTAGTTATTTTATCTATATATTATAGTTGCCAACCCTGTAAAGGAACTGGCTTAAGAATATATATAGATCGAAGATGACTACAAAGTGAATGAAAAAGGAAACTTTACTAGTCTTCCAATTGATATTATTGCTGGAAATATCTCGACATTGCTATATTTATTCCAATTCTGTATGTAAAAGCTTCTTCCGACTGACACACGGGTATACCCATTAAGGCACTGTCTGAAAGGCCAGGAGTGGAAATAGTGAAAGGATTTTTGTAGGATTTATCTTTGTAGAGTAAAATAAGAAATGAAAGCTATTGAAAATAAAATATTACGCTTGAAATTTTTATCAGTATCTAGATTTCTGTTCTGCCGTATCATGAATGTAGAGTACCTACTAATAGAGAAAATGTAGAACAAAATAATGAAATAAAATGGCAATTAACGTCAATGTATTAATTCAGTTGAAAAATTTCAGTATGTTTTCTTTTTAACGAACAACAAAAAAGAATTAGGAAAATAGGTAAAGCCAAGTCAAGTGATGGGCTTACATACGTTCGATAATTGGTACTTATTTATTCATGTTCTAATGAGCTAAGTAATTGAATTTATTTTTGAACACGGGATTTTAGGATTGTAAAATTCGAAGTGCAAAGTAGATGAGCAACAGTTTGTTGGGAACAATCTAGTGTATTATGTTGTTAATAAGAATAAAGAACTATAATTGTATTCGAACTTTACAATAAAAACTAAGAAATAAGTTCACGTTTTTAGAAATTAGAATTTTTACTCTTAGTGTGATGAAAGATTTAATCTAAATTTCAATGTAGTATTACAAAATCATCTACAATATAAAAAAAATGTATAAAAGAAACGATGGAAGTTATTAAACACAAATTAATGAGTTTTACTTTTTCTTTGTTTAACCCGACGTATAAAATTATATTATTATAAGTTTGAAGTGTATATGTATTTGTATATATGTGCCCCTAAACTAATAAACGGATGCGATGTAGTTTTTATTGTTTGAAAGCTGGCTATATGGCTCTTAGCTACAATTTCAGTATTTTTATTTAAGTCAAGTTAAATTTATATGTATCGTAATATATTTCTTAATAACTAGATGCCGCTCCAGCTTCATATCAGCAAACATTTCTAATGGTGCATGTATAGCATATTAGATACCCATACGAAGTCGGAACGGGCTACCTAGTTTAATAATATAGACTTCAAGCACTATCCCCTGACGGCCTAAATTACTCAACGGCCTTCGCTAGTTTAATTACGGCCCGCATTACGGGCCAAATTTCACTACAGAGTACAGATGCTGTGGCCGGTGGCGGAACTGGGCAGTTCTGTGATATCGATTTATATAGGTAGCCACCTTTGCCGCTTTGCCGTTACGTTGCTATACTAAGTTAATTATTCGAGTATTCATTCTATACATATAATAAAAATTTAACATATCGATGTCTATACATTCAACTAAGTTGTTTCAAATACCTTTAAAAATACTATTATTATCGTAATAGAATATGAAAGTATTATTTTTAAAATTGTTGTCGGTTTTTCTTTGCATTTGTTCGCGGTATTTTGAGAATCGGCCAAACTAATTTGGATACGGTTTTGAGAAATGTATGGTGATAAGCTGCGCTTAAAATTTTCTAATTTGTAAATATATACGATATAGTTATAAACTATTGTTATTCCGAATGCCTAGCACGGATCGTAGATAAGTAGTATGGACATAATGGACAAGCCGTGGTCTATAAATAGATTTTTTTATGTATGTTAGTTTATGTCATTCGCGTTTTGTACTGATTTATTATTGCAAGGTTTTATTCATCACAGTAGTGTTTGTTCGGGTCAAATCTTGCAATTGAATTTTAAAGCAGTTATCCCTATTGGATTGAGGTGAAATTTTGCATACATGTTTAGGTAGGATGAAAATGAACAGTTATCTAAGTGACGTCATTTCAAATCCAAAATGGCGGGCCACTTAAAATGGCCTACTAGTTGTTTTATGCACTTCCATGATTTGGGTATCAAATGAAAGGGTTTAGTAAGCTGAATACGGAAAATAAAATGACATAACTTTAAAACCAATAGAGCGGTCTTATAGATTAAGCGCTTCGACGTTTTTCTCTAGTGTCATACTTAGGAATACCTACGTTAGATTCCTGGACCAACCGACGAAGGAAAATATCTCAAATTACTATTTAACGACTACATCGATTATGCTTCTTATTCATATAATATAATATAATAATAATTATTGAATAATATAATAATAATGGTAGATACGAAGAATCGTACACGCGTTTCTTATTAGTAATACAGGTTGTTTATCCAATTAAAAAAATAATGATAAGAAAACATTTCATAAAGAGATAAGTAGCCTGTTATAAGTACCTTGTTATAATCGGATTGGTATTTATTTCTTCATATTTTCATGTTTTTACCCGAAAACACGAAAAAAAT